TAACAAAGGACATCTTCATGTCAGTCGGTCATCAGGAGTAAAGGGAGACGTTGAGCAACATTCTTGAGGAAACGTGTGTGGAAGAGCACTAGAACTGTTTGAAAGAGGTGTGGAGGGAAACCTGTATAACCGTGTTAGGAAGGAAGAGGAGGACAAGAGGGATAATGTATCTGCACGGATGCATGGAAGTTGATGAGGAGTGAGAGGGAGATGGTGAATTGGAAGATGAATTAGTGTAGTGGAGTGTGTTGGAGTGCATTGCAGGGATGAACAACGAGAAGAGGAACTGAGTGTAGCATATAAACCATTACACTGGACAATGAAGAGGAGAAGAATGCGTGCAAACACAAAAACACTTCTACGATCCACTCCCAAAAGGAAAGTTGTAGAGCCAGGTTAGAGTGACTGCAGAGAAGAGAGTGAAATGGTGACGTGTTACTGAAGCCGTATGTTCCACTAGGAACCCAAGGGACAAATAATAATAATGATAAACTTGGATTACATGAATTCTAAAGAAATTTAGATGACTTCGTGAAGGAGTGATTGATAGCGGAGGATATTCTCGGTTAGGTGTTATCATTGTCGACCTTGAAATTTATCACCTATTGTTCAGTCTTGATGCCTCGATTCATATTTACTGTCAAGTTTAATTTATGCTTATGTCCACGGTACTCTGATATTGAAGTGAAGATGAATACATTGTGATTAGAATTATCAAAAGCTGGAAATATACGTCCTTGATCTCATTTCACGATGTGTATTGTTGCCTACTACTGAGGCGTCCAAAGCTAAGCCATAGCTGCTTTCCAGAGCTATGTAGGTCTCAAGAATACTGTAACTAGTATTATTCAGTGATGAATAGTAATTGAAAAAGATCCTTTTATTTCTTAACGTCATTATTCACAGTTATGAAGTTTACTTTTTTAGTTCGCCTTCAATAGATCATTATGCAGATTCTTGTGGCTCAATTGGTAATGCATTGAACAGGTAACTCAAAAATTACTGGTTCCTAGCCTACCACGACCCAGATTTTCACTTCACTTTTATTCATCACTAAATATTTCAATGAAAGGGAAGCCCAATGACTGATCTTTGAGAGTACGGTAAAGCCAATCAGTCAATAATTCAATATTTCACTCCAAATTCTTAACACTGTTGTTGTGTGTACTGAATGATAGATGACACTGAAAAATTTCAAACGGTTATTTTAAAGACAAGACAAGGAATGGATCTCCACCGAAATATGGAAGGTGATGGAGGAGTGAGAGGGAGATGGTGAAGTGGAAGATGAATCAGTGTAGTGGAGTGCATTGCAGGGATGAACAACGAGAAGAGGAACTGAGTGTAATATATAAACCATTACACTGGACAAGGAAGAGGAGAAGAATGCGTGGAAACGCAAAGGGCGCTTCTATGATACATTGGCAAGTGAAACGAAACAGGCTGTAGGTCGGCGAGACCTTATAGTATTGTGTCAAATAACCAGGTTACTATCTGGGACGAGATCAAGACAGATGAAACCATTGAAATGTGGTGAAGGAAACCTAGTCAAGAAAGAGTAGAATGAAAGGAAGCAGTGGGCTGATCATTTCACAGAACTCTTGAATCCACCACCACTGTCACTAACTGTAACTCGTCGACAAACACCAGCAGCAAGCGCAGAACTACGAGTGAACATAAACTCTCCGACTACAGCAGAAGTTGAGTCAGGAACCCCACGAAGTTGCTGGAAACCGGGAAAGCACCAGGACCAGATGGTATTCTACCAGAAGCACTGAAAACAGTCTCCGAGGCAACAGCGGATATGCTCACACTATGGAAAGAAAGGTACCCGTAGGTTTAAGAAGTGCGACCTTGTCAAACTTCTAACCCTAACAGCGCCTTATATCATTGCAAGAACTGGGCGGAATCATGCTGCTGTCCACCCAAAGCAAAATATTAAGTTGCACCATCCTGGAAAGATTAAAGGATGCTTTGGATTCAAAACTACGACCGGAACAGGCTGGATTCAGTAGGTACAAATCATGTGCGGACCAAATGGCAACGCTACGCATAACTATAGAACAGAGAGTAGAACGATAGTCAACTGGATCTTTACCTAAACTTCATCGACTTTGAAATCGTGTTTGACAGCGTCGACCGAGAAGTAGTTTGGAAACTGCTTCAACATTACGGCTTTAGTGCCACAAACACTTATCAACCTCATTCAACAACCATATGAAAACGCCACATGCCAAGTGATCCGCAATGGAAAGCTCAGTGATGCCTTTGAAGTGAAAACAGGAATAAGACAAGGTTACCTACTATCATCGATCATCTTGGTGACTGTGGTCTACTGCATCGTGCAACAAACTGTGAGGAGCGAGAAGAGGGGCATACGCTGGCTGGTCCGATGAAAATAGCCTAGAAGTTTTGGATTTCGCTGATGATGATTTATGTCTAATGTCTTGTGGCACAAACTCGAAGATCTACAGGCGAAAAGTGAGACGAGGCAGCGAAGACGGGACTTCTTTCAGGTGAATGTAGCAAACACAGAGGTGATGATGATACCTAACCAACAAAAACAACAACAAACACCATGAACAGGATAATTCTGAAGGAACTTGTCTCTTTCAAATACCTAGGCAACGCAGCATCGTTTCAACTACAGGCTCTTGCCATCCATATGAAGAAACCTGAACTGTGTGAACAAAAGAAGATTATTCAACCACCGTGATATCTGTGACACAGATGAGGATGTCAAAGCCAGCATCGGAATAACAGCAAGACAGACCTTCATTCATCTGAAATCATCAGTGTGGAGATCTACTACACTATACTCAGCATCAAGCGTGAATAACATTCGGAATTGTCAACACTAATTCAGTCAAGTAAGTCAATGCTTCGATGTGATAGTTGTGAGACTCGGCGAGTGACAAAAAGCATTTCCAACATTTCCTACAGACATCCATCAACAACTGCCACCTGTACTCCTCGATACTGACACTGAAGATCAGATCAGATCAGATCAGATCAGATCAGATGACCAGAATAGAATAATGAGAATAAGCAACAAGGAGCCCTGACAGTCTGGCAACCAACCAACGAAGGGAGAAGCTATCGCTCAACAAATATGTACAAGCAGAAGGTGGAGATTGATTGGACTGGACATACACTAAGGAGACCGATTGAGGACACCGCGCATCAGACCAGACCAGACCAGACCAGGTTGTCGAGTGGAAGTTGAATTGTAAACGACGAGTTTGGCGTTTGAGATGAGGGTGTCTTGGAGGAGATTATGTAATGTAAGGAAGGAATGAAAGCTTGTGGGCATTGGTGGAGCCAGGTTGTAAAGACAGGAGAGAAGAGAGTGAAATTTTGATGTGCTACTGAAGTGGTATGTTTTACTAGGAACCCAAGGGATAAATAATAATAATAATCAAGTGTCTTTAAAATTTCAACACAGTATGAATTAAGACGTTTGACCTGAGGATAATAAATTATGTTCAAAGGTGGGAATCAGGAACTATTGAGCAATCAAATGACCTTAAATTTCTTTCTCACAAATGCATTGTAAATATGCATCGTCTATGACCGAAGTGTGGAATGAGATGGCGCTAAGTATGACTTCGTTTAAGGTCATAGACTATTTACTGAGATGTCTACTCGATGGATCAAGTTGCTACTAATGACGCAAAGATGTACACTATATAATACCTGACTGAATCACTGAGACCACAACGATATTCTTCTATGAGGATCCTTTTAGCGCTAAGCCCTGAACTGTAGGACTAACTATTGCGTTCAGTGGACTGGTAGATAAATTTGCATGCTCATGTCTATCTCTCTTCAAATATTGCTTGTTCTCGTCGTTAGATATTGACTTCCAGTTGGTAGGTAACCCTGCTTGACTTAAGTTTAGCGTTTCTTATCACATATTAGAAAGATGTGTCAGAAACCTGGTATCCCCTCGTAGATTTTACCTATTGCTACTCATTATGGAATTCAATTAGTTTACTACCAACTTAGTCAGGCCACAAACAACTCCCAGCAAGACTGATGGTACTACGTCGACGATTCATTTATCAGAGAGTAACTGTCATGACTCTCTTGTCCTTTGTACTCATCACTAACTGCGGTTCTTGTGGAGGTATCATGGCATCATTTGACCTCATAGAGATTGATCTAATCACAGGGGACTTCTTAGAAGATCTAGAATGTGCAGATGATATAGTCCTGTTAGGCGAAAACTCTGAGAAGATGCAGAGTCTTCTAGAGACATACTTTTCTCACCACCCGACTGACATTCGAGAGTGAAGTAGCTGGATGCGCTGAACACGTTTCTTACCTGAGAAGTCGGGTCAACCCTGGCAGGTCAGTGGTACAGATTCAAAAGGCTCAATTAGCTCTTGCCAACTTCTGTCATCGGTTGCACCGCTACGGTATCCGATTGTCGATTAACGGTCGAGTATGCTGCACTACAGTTCACTCTGTTATAATGCATGTCTGTAAAACACGCATACCTAGTCACCGTCTATCTCATCGTTTAATGTTAGCTGAAGTAGGTTCAGACTGGAGAAAAGCTTGGGATAGATAGGCTAAATCATGGCATCAGTGCATGAAGTCTTTGACTGTTGATATCAACCATTTACAGCGATACAGATCAGTCCATGTAACAACAGAAACTGATGACTGAAGACTCTAGGTGATATGGCTTATTCTTCTTTCATCTCTATTACTTCCGATCGATCCTTCTTAATTTCTTCACTTTCCATCTTATTACTTTTCTACTTATTATGCTGATATGACGTGTGACAACTTGGACGGTTATTCAATAATCCTCGATTCTATGTTGAAAGTAATGATGATGATGACGACGACGACGACGAACTTCAGGCAATCGATCAACTATCTTCATCATATGAAAGGATTTTTCAGTCATTAATAACTATAATAATTATTCAATCAAAGAAATCATTCAATGAAACTAATATAAATGAACTTTATATTGGTTAACTCACCAGAGTAAATAAATATTCTGTCTTAATCAACAAAATGCTTTCTGTATTCATCAGTTCTTAAATATACCATTTTATAAGCGCGTAATTTCACATACTATTTATTGAAAATAAATGTTTCGGTTGAAAAGTTTCTTATTTCATGTGACCAACAAAAATCAGTTCATTATTCAACTTTTTTTTCGTTAGAAATTTTAGAGAAAAAAAAAGAAAAGAAGATTAAATATAACGATTAAATGAATAAATGAAAAAACAAATGACTTTGAGGTCAAACAGTTATTGTAAAGGTTAATTGGTTAAACTATTCATTGAATATGATAAATTTCATTGGCCATGAAAAAAATTTACATTATTATTATTATTATTTCAGATTGCATAATTTCAATCAGTTTCTATATCTATTTTGTAATTAGCTTACGAGGTGGCTAACAGTATAAACTAGGATGTATATTTCGTCCTATTTGAGACTCATCAGCCGGATGTGTCTGCAACCTAGTGAGTTATCTCGTTCATATTGCTACTTGAACCTAGCATGCAGGATGATTGAAGGCGGAATGAAAATCTAAGCTGTTGCAGGATGCAAATCAGTGACCTTCAAACTACAAATCAACCATCTACCAACTAAACTGTGATAGACAGCTGTTGATCAGATTTTAATTTTACTTCAATCACCCTTGGTGTGAATATGATGAACAAAGTGTATTGTTCGGCCATCTCTATGTGCATCTGCTAGTTTACTTGCTCTTGTGGAACAAAGTACACCGGCCATAGCCAGAGAATCCTCTCTACACGTATACGAGAACATGTTCCTGCTTGGTTTTATATAGGTGAAAGAAAGTCTGTTAGAAGTTCGATTCTAGAACATTTGATTGACTTCCATCACACAACAAATCCAGACGATGACTTTGAAATTATCTATCAAATTCGCCAAACCTCCCACGTTCTCTTCGTTTTCAACTCTTTAAAACAGGGAGGCTTTAGCTATTCATGAACTAAGACCTGGTCTGTGTGTACAAAAGAAGTATGTACAGTCACTGTTTTTATCATGGCTATAACATTTTCCCACCCCATTGGCTTCCCCCCCCCCCCCACTTTATTAATTTAACCTTTGTATCCTTCCTTTATCACTATTATTGTTATTATAATCGCCTTCATTTTGACTAGTTTCCAGTGTTATTTCACTTAATTGTCTTAATCCTTTTAGAAAACATTGATTTCATTTTTTCCAACTTGTCTAATGCATTACATAATACTTAATTGATTTACCATTTTCAATAATTTTTTCATCCCCTTCTGAGTTATATACTTTCTGAAACAATTAGTCCCTTTTATGAATTTGGATAATGTAATTAGAAGATGTAGATTATCTGAAAAATGTGATGTATTAGCGCTATACATTTCGAACAATCTGATCACACATTTACTTGTTAAGGCATTATATATGAAAACTGGAAGTGGGGGAAGGACACATACGACATAAAGGAATTCAATAATAAGAAAGATAATGAGAGGAATAAAAGATAAGACTTGAAGACAATCTGGTAATACGATAAAATAAGCATTACTAAGGTAGGCTTAATGTAAGGACAAACTGTTTTTGCATACACACAATGGGGGGTTAAATTTATTTATGGCTAGCGCCTCAACAAACTTAAGTATACGCCCCTGACAGTTTCTGTACAAAATTGTAAAGGCCATTTTGATATCAATCCTGTGACTCTTATCAATGATATGTTTCGCAATGGATGATGATGGTTGTCTGCCATCTGCGCTTATCAATATTTGTGAATCCAGCTGGTTTCGTAGCCATTTTGGAACATGTTCCCCTACCCTCAGGTGCATATCACGATTCGTCCTCCCTATGTATGTTTATCCACACACCATGTAAATTTATAAACGCAGTGGGATGTGACACAATCGTTTATACAGCGTTGAGGTCTAGGTAGCAGCAGGTGTTTGGTCTTCTCAACTATGATAAGCTTAGCTGCATAGTACGTTTTGCTAACAGCAGACCTTAACCTTCATCTTAATATTCTCCTCCGTATGGTAACGCGATGTAAACGCATTTCTTCGAAACAGAGCATAGATCAGTTTGAATCCTCGCTGATTTTTGCAGCAGTTTACGAACTTCAATGGATATCCATTTTCCACTAATGTTTCCGTTAGTATTTTGACATCATCATCATTGAGTCCTCCGTACAAATACGCTGGATCCTTTTAAATAGAGAAGTTACCAAACCTCGCTTGTATTGGGTTGGACAAAAGCTATGGAAACTTAAATACTGACCTGTCCAAGTGGGTTTCCTGTAGATCGACTGTTTTATTGAACCATCATTTCTACGACTTAGGAGTATATCCAAGAATGGTAGACGGTTTTCTTACGGTTTATGCCTTAACAAGTAAATGTGTGATCAGATTGTTCGAAATGATGTATAGCGCTAATACATCACATTTACAGATAATCTACATCTTCTAATTACATTATCCAAATATATACTTTCTATGAAACATTCCATATATTACATAATCTATTTGTTATCATTCGCACTTCAATTGTTATTGTAACCACAAATGCCTATGTCATCATCCGCTCTATTATTATTGTCATCATCATATAGTGTTTAGTTTTTCTCATAGGATATAATTTTTTCCAAATATCATATATATACGATTGTACAGCTTGTAAATAAATTCGTTGAAAAGAGTCTCTTGGCTAAATATTTTGTTCTAGATTGTATTGCATCAAGAATTTTACATGTCAATCGGGTTAGAAATTCTTGTTGACTGAAATGAAACTGAGATCTCCTTCAGGCACTACAGTTATAAATTCAGGAGAATAAGTGAAATACAACAGCCGAAATAAGGCATGATGTACGATTTTTTCTATATTGAAACAGTCAGTGTTATGATGGGTGAATGGAGATCTAATCGAATAGAATGATGGAACTGTTGTCAATCTAATGTGTTAATTGTACAATTCAATCACCATTGACAGAACAATAATGAAATGAGGAGGAAATGAAATATATCGATAATGATTCATGGTGTATAACGTCCTGGTGTTTGAAGCGATGGGTACGAGGTCCAAGTCTCAGTGGGAACAATATCACTGACTCAGGTGCAGGTACATCCAGCTGATGAGTCCCAAAGAGGATGGAACGCGCATCCTGGATTCTTCTCCTAGCCACAAGTAACCAAATCAACATAATTAACATTCAGGCGGCATCGAGATATCCACATACGAGCTCATATGCCAATAGTGGTCAAACAATTTGATCCAGTGAAACAATGGAGAATTACAGGCTTATCAATAAAAAGTAATGAGCTAACAGAAGTTGGAAATATGGAGCATCGGATTCTGACCCAGTGGTTCAATGGTAACGCGCTGGCCGCGGAACCTGAAGGTCTCTGGTTCTATCCGTGGAGAGCAGGGTCGTGGGTGCGCACTGCTAAGAAGTTCCATACTGGGATGAAACAGCTGTGCAGTGCTCTCAGGTTTCTTCTGTTCCTCCAACTGATGTCAGTCTACGATGAATAACAACTGGAAAGATTTACAAATCTCCACAACTCCCTCAAAAATTCTATCAAAATTATTGAAACCATTACAATGTGAGATTACTTCTAATATTAGAAACTCAGAAGAATTCAAGAATAAACTAATGGATAACACAATGAAAGAAGATGAAATTATGCCAAATTTTTATGTAGTGTCTCTTTATACCAGCATTTCTATACTTGATACACTTAATATTGTAAAACGTTTACTTGAAAACAATAAAGTAATACTGAATGGATGTCTATTATCATCAGGAGACATTATGATATGCTTAAAATTCTGTTTAAAGTCAACATATTTTACGTTTAGAGGCAAGTTATACCGTCAAACTAATAGCTCCCCAGTATCTCCGATTGTAGCTATTCTATACATGAAAGTATTCGAAGAAAGAGGTTTATAAATAGTTTTCATTGTCAACCCAAGCTATGGTATAGATTTGTAGGTGATACCTTTGTGATTATCAAGAAAATAAAACTTGAAGGTATTTTACAACATTTAAACTCGATATAAAATTTAAAAACCAAACGGAATCGAATACAGGAACGTTGAAATTCCTAAACTGTCGTCTTATTCAAAGAATTTACAGAAAACCTACACATTCTGATAAATATCTAAATATTCAATCTCACCATCCATTATTATGCACTGATAAAGTTGAAGTCACATTCGACGGTGAACACTTTCAACAGATTGATGGTGTCGCAATGAGTAGTCCATTAGGACTGTTCCTAGCTGATGTATACATGTCATATGTTGAAAACATGGCTGGCGATCTCATCGGAAGGGTTTCACTTTATAAGAGATATGTTGATGATATAGTCATTGCATGTGAAAAGCCTGATGATGCAATGTGCCTGCTAGAGAAAATGAACACAGCTGAAAATCACATTAGCCTGACTTGTGAACAAGAGACGAACAACCAGCTACCGTTCCTAGACGTATTGCTCAGTCGAGGGGAGCATGACTCGATCAGGAGGTCGATCTATAACAAACTTACATGGACAGAGCAATATCTTAATCTCCATAGCTATTGCTCAGTCCAATATAAACGTGGTTTACTTAGATGCTTATTCAACAGGATAAACCGCATCTGCACCGATGACACCAGGGAGAAAGAAACCAACTTACCGACGACAACACTGATACAGAATGGATACCCGTTGGGATTTACCGACAGGTGTAAAATTTATGTACCATTGAAAAGTACAGTGTTCCGTTGCTAAGAAAAATGTCTACATCTCATTACCATTTAGAGGTGATTCACATAGCTTTGTTGTGAGGAAAAGACTTAAATCGGCCATCTGTAAAACGTATTATGCAGCCAAGGTCATCATTTTAGAGAAAACAAAGTCCATGTTACAGAACAAACCGAAACAACATATAACCGATTACATCACATCCCATTGTGTTTATCAATTCACATGTATGTGTGGTCACATATATATAGGGAGGAGTAATCGTGATATGCAGTTAAGGAAGGTTGAACATGTACCTAAGTGGTTTCAAA